ATTTGTGTAGCAAAGATTCATGGGTCCGGTGCCTGTTAATTGGGGATCTGACCTCTAGACTCTTGAGCCCAACTGGAAGAAATTTGAGTCCTCTTTCCAGGAAAGCTGCAGTGCTCAAGGATGTCCATGTGTGGAAAATTACACCAGCAAAAAGTCCTCCCTCACATGCACAAGGCCAGGGGGAAAGATGGGGTATCTAGGATGGAGCAGAAGCATTCCGAACTAGCTCAGCTTTACGGTACCTTTTTATTATTAAAATTACAATGTATATTTTGTAGGCAAATTTTATTGCACTAATTAACTCATTAACAATCTCTAGAGAGAAGCCAGACTCCTCTGGTGGCTCGTTTGCAGAATTTTAATGAGCTAGATAAGAGAAAATCACTGTACCAGGTTCTGGAAAATCCCCAGGACTTCACCAACCATTCTGATTTATTCACTGTAACATCTCATAGAGAAGTGTGAATTGTGGATTAAAACAGAAAAGAACTCTTCAATACAGATACAACACAGTAAGTATGGCTAATTTTAAAAGCAGTATTTATAGCATTTATGGCATTTAAATTTATTATTATTTTTTTAAAATTAGACTTGATTCCCTCCCCCAACCTCTTCCAAGTAGGAACAGAAGCTACTTTATTCTGAAGTCCACATCAGCCAAGCTGGCTGGGGCTTCTGAGTGGGTAGAGCGAGGTAAAGTGTGCAACAGGAAAGATTTTGGAGCACAGCTCAGTCTCCAAGACCGTTAAACTGGCAGCACTGATGTGGTTTATGGTATTTCGTATGACATCCAATGTGGTGCCTTGGCCTCCAGCGTCTGGAGTTTGGATGTCTTTGTTCTCCATGGATGCCAAGACTGCAGTACGAATGGAGGTGGCACAGGAATGGAGCTCGAGGTAATCCAGCATGATACAACTTGCCAGCAGCATGGCAGTAGGGTTGGCCATGCTCTTGTTGGCTAGTGTCTTCTTGCCTGATTGCCTTTAGGCTGTTTCAAACACCGCACATATGTGGCCATAGTTGGCACTAGGTACCAGGCCTTCTCTCCCAACCAACCCTGTGCAGACAGTACTGACAGTGTTGCCATAAAGACTGGGCATCACCATGACATCAAACTGCTGGGGCCACGATACCAGCTGCATGGTGGTATTATCCACAATCATGCCCTCAAAGGTGAGCTGAGGATAGCGGGATGCCACCTGCCTACAGCACTGGAGGAAGAGCCTGTCTCCTAGTTTCATGATGTTGGCCTTGTGCACAGCCATCACCTTCTTGCCCCCCATCTCCTGGGCCAGCTGGAAGGCATTCTCAGCAATGCGCAAAGACCTGGCCTCAGTAATGATCTTCAGGCCCCCTATCACTCCTTTCACACCCTCATGCTCCAGGTTGCTGTATTCACCCTCCGTGTTTTCCCAAACAACTAAGATGTCTATGTTCTTGTGCTGGGTCTCCACACCTGGCAGACTCTTAAAATGGGTGACTTTGGTGTAGAGATCCAGAGAGCCGCGAAACATACTATTTTGGGACATGTGGGATGGTGGCAGGTTGTAGTCATTTTCAATGTTGCCCTTCAAGGCTACGTGGTTTCAGTGGACTGCCATGATGGCATTATGAACGTCCTCTTCAGGAGAAGTGGAGTGAATCCGCATCTCCTCAAAGTCAGCAGGCACACACGCATGTCTGAACATGTTCTTGACGTGCAGCGTTAAGTTCAAGCTCGATGCCATCCCCAGGAATCTTGGTCACAGTGTGCCGCCCACCATAGTTGGCTGGTGGAGGAATGCTGCGTTGAAAACAGAAGCTCCTCAGTGATGTCTCATGGCCAAGGAAAAGCTCCCAAGAATGGCCAAGAATAGTTGGAGGGAACATGGCCTTCAAAGAGCACCTGGCAGCTGTCAGCATCTTCAGTGCCATGATCATTAAAAAAAAGCTTTAATGCAATTTATGTAAAAATATGTGTTCTTCCTCTTGCTTTGAACTGGCTTCTTCTGGTAGAATTCTAGACCCAAAATTCTTGCCTAGGTTACAGTTGTCTCTCCTTCCTTGTATTCTATTTTTGAGACATTCTACTGAAGTAAGAGAGAGAGTGAGCTAGTCACAAGGAGACATGATGTTATATAGTAGAAAATACACTCTGGAGTTGGATAATTCATCAGGCATATTCCATGTATCTGTATGATATCCTTAAAAAAACAAACTTTATATTTTAGAGCAGTTTTAAGTTCACAGAAAAACTGAGTAGCAGGTACAGAGACTTCCCATACAAATACTTCCTTGCCCCTACAAAGGCACAGCCTCCCCAGCATCAAAATCCTGCACAGAGTGGTACATTTGTTACAGCTGATGAACCTACACTGACACATCCTTATCACCTAAAGTCCACTGTTAAGTTAGGGTTCACTCTTGGTGTTGCACATTCTGAGTTTAGACAACACGCATCATCACCGCAGATTCATACAGAGTAGCTTCTCAGTCCTAAAAATCTTGTCTGCTTTGTCTAGTCATTCCTCCCTCTCCCCAACCATTGGAAACCACCAGTATTTGTGGAGACTCTAGTCTCCAAAGCTGTGCATTTCCCAGGAAGTCACACAACTGGATTCATACAGTATGTAGCCTTCTCAGATCAGCTTCTTTGACTTAATAGGCATTTGAGTTTCTTCCACATCTTTTCATGGCTCTATAGTGCATTTCTTTTTAGCACTGAATAAAATTTCATTATCCAGGTGTACCAGTGTTTATCTGTTCACCTGCTGAAGAACATTGTGGTTGTTCCCAAGTTTTGGTAATGATGAATAAAAGCTATTATAAACATACACGTGCAGATTTTGGGTGGACATAAGTTTTCAACTTATTTGGGTAAATAACAACGGGCAGAACTACTGAATGTTATGGTAAAAGTGTGGCTGGTTTTGTCAGAAACTGCTAAACTGTCTTCCAAAACGGAAGTGCTATTTTGCATTCTCACCAGCAATGAATGAGAGCTCCTGTTGTTCCACATCCTTGCCAGCATTTGGTGTTGACAATGTTCCAGATTTTGGCCATTCTAACAGGCGTGTAGTGGTATCCTGTTTTAATTTTCATTTCTCTGATGACACATGATGTGGAAGCATCTTTTCATATGCTTATCTGCCATCTGGGTATCTTCTCTGATGAGATATCTGTTAAAGTTTTTGCCACATTTTTAATCAAGTTGTTTGTTTTCTTATTGTTGATTTTTAAAAGTTCTCCGTTTAATCCGGGTAACAGTTCTTTATCAGATGTGCCTTTTACAAAAAATTTCTCTCAGTCTGTGGCTTCTCTTCCCATTCTCTTGACATAGCCTTTTTGTGGAGAAGAAGTTTTAGTGAAGTCTAGTTTTTAAACTTTTTTCTTTCATGGATCCTGTCCTTGGTATTTGATGATGACAATGCAAAGTGCTAGTCATTTTAGAACATGATCTGGCAATTTCTTACAAAACTGAACGTAGGTTTTACTATACGATCCAGCACCTACACTCCTAGATATTTACCCAGATGAGCTGAAAACTTGTGTTTATACAAAAACCTACATATAAATGTCTATAGCAGCTTTTATTCATAATTGCCAGAACTTGAAGAAACCCAGATGTACCTCAATAGATTAAAAGATACCAAGGGGGAGGGGGTGGGAAGGGACAGACTGGGAGTTCGAAATTTGTAGATACTGACAGGCATATGTACAATAGATAAACAAGATTTGTACTCTACACTGAAAATTGACAAGGCATATAGGTAAAATGACTATAACTCAATTAAAAATGTAAAAAATAAAATAAAATAAAGTACACACCACCATACCCAAGGGCATCTAGATTTTCCCCTAGGAGTTTTATAGTTTTGCATCTTAAATCTATGATCTATTTTGAGTTAATTTTTGTGAAGGGCTTAAGGTCTGTGTCTAGGTTAATTTTTTTGCATGTGGATGACCAGCTGTTCCAGCACCATTTGTTGAAAAGGCTGTATTTACTCCATTGTGTTACCTTTGCTCTTTGGCCGAAGATCAGTTAACTATTTACATGGGACTATTTCTGCACTCTCTTTGTCTTCCATTGACTTATTCATCTGTTCTTCTGCCAATACCACAGTGTCTTGATTAACGCAGCTTCATCTTGAAGTGGAGGACTGTCAGTCCTCCAGCTTTGTTCCTCTCATTTAATACTGTGCCGACTATTCTGGCTATTCTTTTCTTCCTCCCTGGCTGTTCTGCTTCTCCATAAGCTTTGAAATCAGTTTCTCAATATCCACAAAATAACTTTGTTATTCTGATCAAGCTGGCATTGAATCTGTAATTCAGGTTGTAAAGAATTCATATCTTGACAATATTAAATTTTCCCATCCATAAATATGGAATATCTCTCAATTTATTTAGTATTGATTTGATTTTGTTCATTAGAGTTTGGTAGTTTTCCTCATATCGATCTTGTATGTACGTTGTTAGGTTTCTACCTAAGTTTGTCATTTTGGGAAATGCTAATGTAAATGATACTGTGTTTTTAACTGCAAACTCCATTTACTCATTGCTCTAAGAAAGCAATGGGCTTTTGTACATTAACCTAGTAACCTGCAGTCTTGCTTTAGTCACTCATTAGTTCCAGGAGTTTTTTGGTTGATTTTTTTAGGGTTTCTATATTAATGACCTTGCCATCTGCAAGAGATAGTTTTATTCCTTCCTTTTCAATCTGTATACCTTTTATTTCCTTTTCTTGTCCTATTATATTGTGGAATTTCCAGGGTAATATTGAAAAGGTGGTAAGAGGCATCATCCTTGCCTTGTACCTGATCTTAGTGGAAAAGCTTTGTGTTTCTCGTCGTGAAGAACGATGTTAGCTGTAGGTTATTTGTAGGTATTCCTTATCAAGTTGACATAGTTTCCCTCTACTTCTAGTTTACTGAGAACTTTTTATAGTAAATGGGTGTTGACTTCTGTCAAATGTTTTCTGCATCCATTGATGTGGTCATGTGAATTTTCTTTTTCACCCTATAGAAGTGATGGATTACATTAACTGATTTTTAAATGTTGAAACAGCCCTGTATACCTGGGATAAATATCACTTGATTGTGGTATATAATATTTTTATACATTGCTAGATTCAATTTGCTAATTTTTGTTGAGAATTTTTACATCAGTGCTCATGAGACCAGTATCACAGCTGTAGTTTTCTCATAATGCCTTTGTCTGGTTTTGTTACCAGGGTAATTCTGGTCTCAGAGAATGAGTGAAGAGTTGTATCTTTTGCTTCTATCTCTTAAAGATATTATAGAAAACTGCTATAGTTTCTTCCTTCCTTAAATGTTTGGTAGAATTCACCAGTGAACCCACCTGGGCCTGAGAATTTCTGCTTTGGAGGGTTATTAATTATTGATTCAATTATATATATACATATATATATACAGAGAGAGAGAGAGAGGAAGAGGGAGAGAGAGAGAGAGACACACACACAGAGACAGAGACATAACCAGATTCTCTGTTTCTTCTGGTGTAACTTTTGGCAACATGAGTCTTTCAAGGAATTAGTCCATTTCATCCAAGTTATCAAATTTGTGAGCAGAAGTTGTTCATAGTATTCCTTTATCTTTTTAATGTCCATAGGATCTGTAGTGATGTCCCCTTCTTTCTGATATTAATTTGTGTCATTTCTTTTCTTTTTTTTTACTTACCTTGACTAGAGGGTTATCAACTTCACCGATCTTTTCAAAGAACCAGTTTTTGGTTTTTCTGATTTTCTCTATTGATTTTTTTCTTTCTAATATCACTGATTTCTGCTCAGATTCTTAATAGTTCTTTTTTTCCTACTCAGTTTGGATTTAATTTGCTCTTCTTCCCCTAGGTTCCTAAGAAGGAAGCCTAGATTATTGAACGTAAATCATTCTTCCTTTCCACTGTATGTATTTATTACTATGTATTTCCCCCTAAGCACTGTTTTCACCACATGCCACCAATTTTGTTCTGTTTTCCTTCTCATTTTGTTCACTTTAAAAATTTCTTTAGAGATTTCTTCTTTGACTCACATGTTACTTAGAAGTGTGTTATTTAGTCTCCACATTAACTTTGGGACTTCCCAGCTATCTCTCTGCTACTGGTTTCTAGTTGAATTCCACTGTGGTCTGAGAGCAGACACGGTATGATTTCAGTGCTTTTAACTCTGTTAAGGTTTGCTCTGCGGCCCAGAATGTGGTCTGTCTTGGAGAACATTTCACGTGAACTTGAGCAGGATGTGTATTCTGCTGTCATTGGGTGAAGCGGTCTATAAATATCAATTACACCCCGGTGATGATAGTGCTGCTGAGTTCAGCTGTTGTCTTTACCGATGTTCTGCCTGCTGGAGTTTGCTCCTTTTTACTGTTGTTAACTTTTTAAGAAACTGCCAAATACTGTTCCAAAATAGTTGTACCATTTTACATCCCCACCAGTGTGAGAGAATTACAGCTTCACATCTTTACCAACACTTGGTATTGTGGTACTTCTAATTCTAGCCATTCTAATGGGGTCCAGTGTACCTCACTGTGTTTTTCATTTGTGTTTCCCTTCTCACTGTGATATGCAGTGTTTTTAATGTCTTCTCCCAGATCACAGCTGCAAGCATTAACATCTGCTATTTCTAGAAATCAACCACTCAACTCCGAAAGGCAGGCAAACTCTGTGTTTCCCAAAGCCACCCCAGTTACACAATTTAATTGAAAATAAAGCATCTCTTTAATTTAAAACCAGCCGTAATCCCGTTCTCATTTCGCTTTGAGGCACCAGCAACCCTGATGCAGGTTAGTGGTTTTTCAGGGAGGTAGGTGACTTGTTTATGAAGACTTCCAAAAGGCTGTTAAAATTCAAGAAGATGAAGATGCAGACTAAATAATGGCTACTTCTATAGAACACTTGGCCACATCTCAGGTGCTGCAATGGATATTTTACATACATCACCATAATCCACCAAGGCAGGCATTATAGTTCCCATTTTACAGATGAACAAACTGAGTATCACAGATCCTACAAATTCATACACTGTGCGAATGGACAGAGAATGCAACATGAGAGGTGAATATCTGTAGTGGTCCTAGAGGCCTAGACCAGTGCTTCTAAAACCTGACCACCCTGGATCTCACTGACGTGCAGATTCTAATTCAGTGTTCCATTGAGGGAGGGAGCAGATTCTGCATTTCCAAGGAGCTCCCTAGTGATCCAGATTCTACTGGCTCCTTATTACGCTCGAGTAGCGAGGGCCTGTATTACATCCTCACAAGGTCCAGGCAAGTCAGAGCCAGCATCTGGTGTGCTCAGAGGCAGCCTGCTGGGAATAAAGGAAGGATGCAGTACTGCTTTCTCCTTAAAACTGATGTAAAGTGGCTGGAGAGCAGGAGTCAGCTGGGAAACTGTCTGTCACTTAATACGGCACATAGGACGGAAAGTATCTGTCCACCACCAGTGCCTGAGGCGAGAACAGATGATAACACCAGGAGAGAACACTGGCAGCAAAATGACCCAGACCCAACTACACAATTTCCTTTCTACCAATGGGCCACCCTTACACAAGCATACACCCCCATCCTCTTCCTATCCCTGGGAAGGACATAAATCTTTTAAAGGTATGGATAAAAAAGGAAGGAAGCCCTGAGACTGGGAATGTAAACTAGATGGTGGTTGAGATTTTTAATAACCAGATTAATCTATAAGCATCCCATGGAAAAAGCTCTTAGCCTCAACAGAACAAAGTTATGACATGTGCTGCACAGGTACACGAATAACAAGAAGCCA